ACAAATACAAAATACACCTGTGTTCAGCATGTCTATTTATTTTTTGCATTTTGATGCTTTGACATCAAAGAACTTGCTGACCCTGGAGGGACTGCCCCTCCCAAGGCTAATCAATTCCTGAACATAGTAAGGGACTCATCTGCCAGCACCCTTTCGTATGCAAACCAACCAATCCAGAGCCTAAACCCTTAACCAACTCCTTTTATTGGGCTCTCTCAGAGATCTCACTTTCTGGGCCACTATCCACCTGCCCTAATCACCCTTGGAACAGGAACCAGACAACTAGAGATAGTCCCTACGACCAGAGCCTTTTGAAATTATCCAAATGAGCCAATTCTAAACCTGCTTTTTCTGCTTTGTCTGTTCCTCCCACGGAAACCACAATAAAGGTGCTTGCCCATGTTTTCCTCCAGCTTGTTCTACCTCCTGACTGGCCCTTCTGCTTTCCCAGTTGGCCTCCTGTGTAGTGTGGCATGCCATGCCTCCTGTTCCTATGGATCCATGAGTATTTAAAAAAGCTTCTCCCCTCATAACAGTCATTTCCATGTCTATAAAACATATCTCAAGTACCCTTAAAAGATAGCAGACACAGAACTGATAGGACTTACATAACAATGCCACTTAAACTTTAAATTTCAAAGAACTTCCACCTATATTTTCTAATTCAATTCTTAAAATAACTTGTAAGATACTTAATAGTCATATTTTACAAGTAAGAAAGCTTAAACTCAAAAGTCAATTTAAATGCTCAAACTCGTCCAATAATTCACAGGCTATTAATCTGTTTGTACATTAAAGTTAATAATAGTATGTATCTTGTAGAGTTAAGGTGATGATTAAATTAGTCCTTACTTCTAAGTAAAGTTAGAAGTAAGAAGTTAAACTGTAGACACGTCATGTTAGGTATCAGTGGTATCTTGGTGGAGCTGTCTGGTGGCAGTTGAAAATGCAAGAGTAAAGTAAATTTCAAGGAACAGAAGTAAGAGCTAGAGATTCAGATTTGAGAATTTTTGCATGGAGATGATAATAAATGAACAGAGTCCCCAAATAAAAACCTAAAGGCACAAAGAGAAGGTAACAGAGCTAAAGGAAGAAACTGGAGATGGTAAAAGAGATCAGAAAATAGGCACTGACTTTTGACTTGTGACTTTTGAAACCTTTTGGTCACTCATTATTGACCTTTGAATAGTTTCTGTACAGAAATAGAGACAACAGACTGCAAGGGTTAAAGAGTGAACACAGACGTTTCTGGTCCAACATGTAAAGACCACAAAAGTCACTAATGTTATTTTTATCACAAGAAAAAGGCTTAGCAAACTGAAAATCAACACGTCTTTTTAGATTCATCAGATCAGTTTATAGACAAACCACTGGCCAGAAAGCTGGACAAGCAGGAGAAAACAGACAAGCAGGAGAAATCACAACTTACTGGGTACAGACACTCCAACTGGGGCCAGGGAATGGTAGGAAACCTTAAAGGGTAATTGACTAATTGCAGGAGACTGAGTGTAAACTAATTTGAAAGATAAAAACTCCCAGGGCCCGGGGCGCCTGGGTGGCTCAGTCGTTAAGCGTCTGCCTTCGGCTCAGGTCATGATCCCAGGATCCTGGGATCGAGCCCCA